GGTGTTTCAATCAGAAAAGTCAACAGTCTGAGGAGAAGGTGGATTTGTCCAGAGACCAACTCTGAAGATTCTGCTTGGCCATGACCAGTTTTAAAGGGAGAAATGGGGAAGAATCTCAGTGAATCATCAGAGCAGGATGTTGGATTCTGATCATTCTCCATTGCGTGAACATCTCTTCTGATGTTATCTTTCCTGTGTGATCTGCCTGCAGGATTGCTAAAGGAGCTGCTGGGGTAGACAGCTAGTCATTTTTTAACTACTTTATTCTTCATCCTTACTTCTTTTTATCTAGAAAAACAATCAGCAGGTTAGACAAGTCATACATAATGTGCATTCAGGACAGCGTAAGTCAGGAGTTAGGTTGAGTTGCTGAGTGAATCTCATTCCTAGAATTAAGGTCTTTTTAAAATTATTTTAATTGGAGGCTAATTACTTTACAATATTGTGGTGGTTTTTGCCATACATTCACATGAATCAGCCATGGGTGTGCATGTGTCCCCCATCCTGACCCTCCCTCCCACCTCCCTCCCCATCCCATTCCTCAGGGTCATCCCAGTACTCCAGCCCTGAGCACCCTGCCTCTTGCATTGAACCTATACTGGCAATCTATTTCACATAGGATAATACACATGTTTCAATGCTATTCTCTCAAATCATCCCACCCTCGTCTTCTCCCACAGAGTCCAACAGTCTGTTCTTCACATATGTGCCTCTTTTGCTGTCTCGCATATACCAGAATTGAAAGAATTAGGGTCTTTTAAGGCTGGAGGAGAACAGAAATGAGCAAGCAGGACAGGGAGCAAAGGATCTGTTTTCATGTTCAACTCGATATCATTTTGACACTTCAAACTTAATGTGGTCAAAACTGAATTCATCTTTACCCTCAAGTCTTGGAGCACTCAGATGTCCCTCATGCACTGTGTTCTTACATCCATCTGTATTTCATACATCAGTTGACCATGTCCAAAATGTGGGGGTCCTTCATAACTGTTTATCCTAGACAGTTACTAAGTCATGTCAATTATTTTCCTAAATATATCTCAAGCTGGTCTTTTGCAGGCCCCTTTTAACTCTCACTTGCATTTCTGCAGTACTTTATGAATTGATTCAGGGGCCCCACTCTCAAATGCTTGTACATGTCTACGTATCAATTCCCCTTTAGATCTTTGCCTCTTTACCAGTCTGTATCTCCTATTATTAACATAAATACCTTAAAGTCAGAAACTGGGGTTCATTCATTGTTTTATCTCTACTTTGCATCCTGGCTAGGGGTAAGCCAACAGCAAATCATTGTGAACTGAACACACAAATGAACAGAAAGATACTTTCACATCCCTCATATGGTAGTACTTTGAACTCACACATATAGAAATTACTTCAAATATTTTTATGAGCAATGGCTTTCTTGCCCATGATCAGTCTTCCATCCTCACAAGTCTGCCTGTTTTTCTGAATAGATTATATATAGCTGTTAAATGTATCTTTAAATCCCAAAGCCTACTGATTGCTTTTGGGCTGCGGTCCCTAACATTTTTGGCACCAGAGATTGGTTTTGTGGCAGACAATTTTTCCATGGATGAGATGAGGGAGATAGTTTTGGAATGATTCAGGAACAGTAGGGTCCGTGATCCTATGAGAATCTAATGCTACCGCTGATCTGAGAGGAGGTAGAGTTCAGAAGGTCATGCAAACAATGGGAAGCAGCTGTAAATACAGAAGAAACTCCACTTGCCCACTGCTCATCTCCTGCTGTGCAGCTTGGTCCTAACATGAACTGGTCCATGGCCCAGGGGTTGGGAACCCTGCTATAGTGTACAGCTCTTATTGAACAAACAAGCAAGCAATGTGCACAATATCTCCTCTAAATGTTAAAAGAATAATTTTCCTCATGGGAATATCAGTTACATTCCCAGAGCATTGTTAGGTATGACATTCAAAAAACTAAGATCATGGCATCTGGTCCCATCACTTCATGGCAAATAGATGGGGAAACAGTGGAAACAGTGACAGCTTTTATGATCTGGGACTTCAAAATCACAGCAGATGGTATTGGAGCCATGAAATTAAAAGATGCTTGTTCCTTGGAAGGAAAACTATGACCAACATAGACAGCATATTAAAAAGCAGAGACATTACTTTACCGACAAAGGCCTGTATAGTTAAAGCTATGGTTTTTCCAGTAATCGTGTATGGATATTAGAGTTGGACCACAACAAAAGGTGAGCTCCAAAGAGTTGATGCTCTTGAACTGTGGTGTTGGAAAAGACTCTGGAGAGTCCCTTGGCCTGCAAGGAGATCCAGCCAGTCCATCCTAAAGGAGATCAGTCCTGGGTGTTCATTGAAAGGACTGATGCTGAAGCTGAAGCTCCAATTCTTTGGCCAACTGATGAGAAGAACTGACTCACTGAAAAAGACCCTGATGCTGGGCAAGATTGAAGACAGGAGGAGAAGGAGACGACAGAGTATGTGATGGTTGGATGGCATCCCTGACTCGATGGACACGATTTTGAGCAAGTTCTAGGAGTTGGTGATGGACAAGGGAGACTGGTGTGCTGCAGTCCATGGGATCACAAAGAGTCACACATGACTGAGTGACTGAACTGAACTGAGCTGAATGTTGATACAGGAAAACACATTTGTCTCAGGTCATTGGCTTTGTTGAATGGATGAAAAGTGAAAGTGAAAGTGAAGTCTCTCAGTCGTGTCTGACTCTTTGCTACCCCATGGACTGTAGCTTACCAGGCTCCTCCATCCATGGGATTCTCCAGGCAAGAATACTGGAGTGGGTCACCATTTCCTTCTCCAGGAGATCTTCCTGACCCAGGGATTGAACCCAGGTCTCCCACATTGCAGGCAGACGCTTTAACCTCTGAGCCACCAAGGAAGCCCTGTTGAATGGATAACTCTCTATAATTATGGCAAGATGCACTGAATTCCTTTAACACTCTTTTCCATCTTTGTGCATTATATATGAAAGCACCCATCTCACTATACTCTTGGAAATCACTGACATGTATGCTTCATATATTGCTCTTTAAAATCATTTTATGTTATCCCCAAAAGGAATATGTTCCTTTGTGAAAGCCACTCAGTCATGTTTGACTCTTTGCAAGCCCATGAACTTTAACCTGCCAGGCTTCTCTATCCATGGAATACTCCAGGTCAGAATACTTGAATGGATTGCCATTCCCTCCTCCAGGGGATCTTCCTGACCCAGAGATCGAACATGGGTCTCCTGCATTGCAGGCAGATTTTTTACCACTGGGCCACCAAGAAAGCCCTGGGTCTTTGAGGAGCATGTCTTTTATAGGGCTTTTATGCCCATTTCATGGTATCATTTTGATGGTTTCTTCCTAGCTCTCTCAACTGTATTTGAAAACATCGAAAACTACCATTTTTATAAATATTTTTACAATTTTTAAAATCTGAGATCAAATAAAGTGATAATAAAGTGACAAGAGAGAAAGAAATGTTTATATTTTTATATTTAAAATATGTGTCTAAAAATATGTCATTTTATTGTAACTTCCAGGATAGTTAATTTTTTTCTTTAATTGCATTGTACTAATATTCTGTCATCTGAAACCATAAGACAAGATCTATTTTATACCCACAGTGATATTTAAGTTATCCTATTAAGATCATAGTAAAACAAAGTATTGAAATAATTGACTAAAAACATATTGTAGGTAATGTCTTGAATATTCTGGTATGTTTCTATGCATACTGGTTGAAACTATGCATGCTTTAAAATTTATACTTTGTTTTGTTTTCTCATCTAAATTAAATAGTAGCCATTTCTGGCAAAAGACAAATTATTAGATGTTCTTGCTTTTAAGCAGAAACTGTGTCTGTTTCCAGATTTTTGCTCTTTTTTGTCTTCAGGTTGTCCATATCAGGAAAATCACTGAATTTTAATAATTGATTAAAAGTTCATTCTGTATCATTTTTAAAGTAACTCAAATGTTTCACCAACAAGTGAATTCATTGTCCTTCATAAAGCTTGGGCAAGTATGACCAATGCTGAACTAAAAATTAAATGAGATTTGAGACCCAGTTTTCTGCCCTATTTATAAATTACTTAAATAAATCAAGAATATTGAGAGCATAGTCATGACATATACTAAATTGCTCGTAACTATGCCCAGAGTTAAAACCTACTTCCTATTTGGCATCTCAGATTACTTCACAGTGATAACAGAAATATGAGATCTCTATAGTTCTCATAAGGAAAGTCATAGTGTCATGATATGAATCTCACTGTAGTCTCAACCATGAGGTTGCATCAGTATATGATTATTTAAGATTAAATTTTCACTTCTTTCACTTTAAGTCTCCTTTCTCCCCTAGAGCCTTAAACGCTGCCCAGTCATGGAGACGTAACCCAACTTAAACTGATTATTTGGGCATAAATATTACAGAAGTTAAACTTCCAAAACTTCCCAGAAATCCACCCAAACATTAACCATGTGCTCAATGGAAATGATGTTAATACATAAAATTTGTCCTTATTACTATTAGATAGCAATAGAGAAAATATATATTAACAAGAGCATGACATTTCAGTGCAATTCTTACCTTCTTTTTGAGCCACTGGTATAGAAAAGCATAGATGAAGCCAATATACAAAGGAGGTCATAGTTGAGGAAATTATGGCAAAATCAACCAAGAATCACTGGAATAAACTATTTATCTGGTTTTATAGTCCAACAGAGCTTCTTATTATTTAACCTTGTTGAGTCGAGACACATTATCTGTAACTGAATAAATGTGAAATTGACACATTAAAAAAAAAAGAGAGAGAGTGGATGTGAAAGGGAATCATTAATAAATCCCAAGAATGGGTAGAGTAACTATAATGATGTAGAAGCTCTGTCTGGGAAATCATCAGGCAAAGTCTCATTTTCCCAGTTGTCTGATAACATAATTGATCAATGACAATATAAAATGTACTACCGTTTTGCATCTCACATAGCCTTGCCCTCCTCTTTCAACTCCAGCTGTAAGCACAAGATGTACCTGGAAAGGCTGCCAAACACCAGCATCATTATCCCATTCCATAACGAAGGTTGGACTTCCCTCCTCCGGACCATACACAGCATCATCAACCGGACCCCAGAGAGTCTGATTGCAGAAATCATCCTGGTTGATGACTTCAGTGATAGAGGTAAGTCATTGTTGATACCATTTTATGTGATTCTGTTATCACCTGCATAATCATTACAGGCTTTTAAAATAAGGCAGATGATTATTGCAATGGCTTCTTGCTGATTCTATCTGAAAGGTGATTATGAAGTTTTATCTATGCTGCGATGTTGTGATTTTGTAAAATGTTGGCCAAGTGCAAAATGAAATGAATAAGTTATTGGCATCATTTGGGGTATCTGAAAGAAATGTACATTGCATTTCTGTTGTGAATGAGACAGGTGTTGGCAGAATGTCTTAAGTTCTATCTTCAGCTTCAGAAAAAACACTGTGAAATATGGTGAGTACATATGAATGGTGGTATGTTCCAGGAGAACCATAAAACCTGTTCCTATTTGTGAAAAAGATCTGCTTTGCTGTTTACCAGCAAGATGGTTTCTCCAGGCTATGCTTCTCTTATTTCATAAATACTGGAAATGGTAAGTAACACAAGGAAATATTTTGACTTGGTGATTTTAGCTATTGTATTCTATCTGAACAGTAACAGCAAAAAGGCCTGGAGTGCAGAGTATTAGAAAATTTAGCATCGTTTTACTGTTTTTTACTATTTGGATGAACACAATTTGGTTTATAAGTCAGGGGAATACAATTATAGAAAGTTTCTTGAGTTTAGGATTTGATAAATCATATTTGCTCTAAATACAGGAATTTTAAATACTACAGAATAAGTAAAATCTTTCTATCTTGGCTGGTGGACAGGCAGAAACTTTTTCTAAAGGTATTCATCTACCTTCTGTTTCTTTGCATAAAGGAGTTTGGTTTAACTATACTGTGTGTGTGTGTGTAAGAATGGCAGTAATCAAGTTTGTGTACTTTTCCCGTCTTACAAGAGAATGCATCTTGAGTTTTGATGAATTAATTGAAGGTTGGGAAATTTCATTTGTACACAGAAAACTATTCTTCATAGTACTTAGAAATTCTATAAAAGTAAAACCACTTGGTGTGTTAGCTTTGAGGTTTCTGTAATGTTTTTGTCTGCAATGATTCACTTCTAATACTGATTCAGGATTCATGGTCTATTTGTATGTGTTGAAGTTTATGTGACAAAAGAAAGTTGTCTGTTGTTCTGTTAAATACTAAACTACCAACTTGGTAATTCAAATTGATTTTAAAGTACCATTTGCCTTGCATTGCTTAGGTAGATATGTATTAAATTAGTATCTAAGAAATACTTAAAATTAAATGCATTCATTAAAATTAATTTAAATAACACAGAAACTTCTTTTTTTTTTTTAATTTTAATTGAGGCTACTTGTTTCAAAATGGTCATTATTACCTCAGGCTAAAAATGCACATTTCATGTGTTAAAGCTGAAACTTTGCTTTTAAATAAAAGAATGAAAAAGGAGGTAAAGATCTGGGATCGTAGGTACAAAACCAAATAAATGGAATTTTTTGGTTGACTGGTACCAAGAGAAATAAGACAGTCTATCTGTAGAGAATTTTCTGCATAATTAGCTTTGTCTTGGTAAACTGTGTCCAACAACAGCATTTTGACCTGAGGGTAATAGAGAGGAGACACTTGCTAGCAGTAAGTGATTTGTAGAGAATTTTTTAATTGAATATCTCGCAAAGGTGCTTTCTAATGGAAAGTCCTTGAAGAGGAAGAAAAGAATGGTCTGGATCTTCAAATCCCTGTGTAGTGGCACCTCTGATGGATGATCCCTTCTACATAGAATGTCCTGGAAAAGAAGTGTGCTCAGGAGGGTCGATGTCATTGCTTTTCGTGAAGTGAAACAACACAAATAGTGTCATCTGGGAGTGTGATGGTGATTTTGACTTTCCTAGTGGACATTTTTAAGGAGAATAATTATGTTGCAGAAAGGGGGACCCCTTCCAGGCTCTGAAACTGGACTCTTGTCTAACACTTGGAAATAAATTGTCCGAGGAACACATGTGCTGATAAAGCAACAGATTTTATTGGGAAAGGGTGCCCGGGGACGAGGGGCGGTGGGAGGGGAAGCAGTAGGGTAAGAACAGCTCCGCCACGGGGCTCCCAGTCTCTGGTTTATGGTGGTGGGATTAGTTTCCGGGTTGCCTTTAGCCGATCATTCTGACTCAGAGTTCATCCTGGTGGTGCGCGCCTTGTTCAGCCAAGATGGATGCCACCAAGAAGGATTCTGGGAGGGGGTCAGGCACGTGGGCTCTCTTTTTGACCTTTCCCAAACTCTTCTGGTTGGTGGTGGCTGATTAGTGGCATGTTCCTTACCAAGACCTCCTGTCATAAAACAACTCATGTAAATGGTTACTATGGTGCCTGGACAGGGTTGGGGGTTTCAGTCAGTGTGCTTCCCCTAACAATTATTTTAATGCTTTCGTAAATCTTTCCTTTGGTTATTCTATTCCTGGGAGCAATCAAGTGGAAAGTATTATTTTATAATCATTAAACTTTCAAAAGGGGAAGTTTTAGGGAATATTGCTTTTCATTTCACAGTCTGATGATATGTGTAAGAGTAAACTTTGAAAGACATGATAAAAATACCTTAATAATATTTTATGTTATATCATAATTCTAAAGCTTATGAAATAGGAGAGACCTTTCTTTCAAATTGTTGTTTCAGATTACAGAATCCCACCTGATAGAATGTTAGGGTTTGTGGGCATCCCTGGTGTATGGAACAGGAGAAACCTTCCTTTCAAATTTTTGTTTCCCACTACAGAATCTCATCTGCTAAAATATTGGTGTTTAAAAGCATCACTCACTTTCTGAATTGTGGGAAGTCTAGAAAATCAACATAGTAAACACAGGTTAGAATCCTCATACTGACAATGAACTGTATGACTTTGGGTAAATGAACCTCTTGGTGTCTCAAATTTCTTTATCAAACGCGGCTAAGTGACGCTTAGTCATCTGAGTTATCCAGGGAGGTGGTGATGGAGCCCGCCGTGGCTGATAAAGGAACTGTGCTCCATAGAACAACTGTTCTCAGATTCTGGCTACTCCTCACCAAATACCGTCCTGAAAAACAGCATCAATTTTCTCCATACTTTTATGAGGCCATCCTCTCAATTTAATCAAATCATTTGCACAAAATTGAATCAATCAATCATTCTGTCATCTGTCCATCCATCCACCCACACATCTATCTGTCCCCCCACCATCCCCAGGTGAAATCAGAGTCCTACCTTCATAGAAGGCATATGAAGACAAATTGTAGTCATTTTTAACATGGTAGAAAAATTAGCACTGCATTAACATTAAAAAAAATCCAGTTTTACCAATAAGCAGGTAGTTTTACAGATATTGAAGAAAAAAATATAAATTTTAGAATTTCAGCACAAAGAGGATAAATAGAGCATATCATCTTCCTAAATTATGTCTGTGACCTTAATGTTCATCAAAACTCGTTCAGGATTGTTTTTACTATTAGAAGAGGAGGAAGATATCCCCAGGCATCTCATATTTACAGGGCCTCAAAGACAAAGAAGTTTTCTCTGCTTATTAGTTAGTTATGATTTATAGCAATGTTTTTAAAAGCTATTATACTTTATGATTTTTTTGGTATAACTCAGAAATCAGAAGGTTTTTTATCCCACCAATTCTTTAAAAATCAAGTATTCTAGACAAATCATAAAGTACAAGAAAATATAGGGGATGTTTTGTTCTCCTTCAGGAAATTATTTCTGAAACATTACACTTCATGTTTATTTTCAGAAATACATTCTAGCTCTAGGTCTTTTTAGTATACATTTTAACACCTTTGCCCTATAGCTCTTCTGAATATTCTCTAATGTCCTTTAGATACCGGTGATAACATTTTGGCAAGACTTAATCCAACATTACTGCTTTCTCTTTTATGTCTTTCAGGTTAATAGAATAGCTACACCTGAATAAACAGAGCCAACATGGTAGCCATGTTAGTGGCATGACGTAATACCCCTTGAAATTCATAGCTCCAGAAAATATGGTCACTTTGCTCAAGAAGTCTTTAAAACTGGCTTCATAGCAATAGAGAAAAATGATAAACTATTTTCAAATTATAGAATCATTATAAATATTGCAAAGTGATTTTTTAAAATTGGCTTGGATTTATCCAGTTGACCTAGTTGTCAGAATGCTTTAAAAAAAAAAAAAAAAAGGAACATGTGAGCACTTCTTGGTTTAGATATTTTCTGCAGTGAGCTTGGTAAACAGAGTATTGTTTTAGCCTCAGAATGTAAGCCTACTGCCTATAAACATGGGAAGCTGTAAGCCTGCAGGTAAAATTTCAAAGCCAACATAGTTTTTGCTTTCTGAAGCTCACCAAAGTTAGCAATTTTTTTTTTCTAAGAAGGTCTCAGAAATACATTTAACAACTTAACTTGAGGCCTTTAACAAGGCTTCATGATAACTTTAAAGCAAGACTAATCCTAGGCTTATCTCCAAATTCCAGGCAACCTTTGCGGCATCCACATGGAAAATGTTGAAATGGGTGAACTAAGCTGCAGCTTAGCCTCAGAGATGGGGCATATTTGAACCTGAGAATTCTCTAAACTGGTGCCCTTATATGAATTCAAGTTCAACCCAAGGGAACGCGCAGGAGAGTTGCTGACACACTTTCCTTAACACAGGTGGGGGCGGGAACAGGGCACTACTTTGACCTGGACGTTGTGCACAGATACACACACACAGTTACATGCACGTGTGCGCATACACACGCATACACACACACACACACACACACACACACACACACACATTGGTGCCTGCTTGTTTCAAACTTCCTGGACAGAAAAAGAAGGGAGCTGAGTGTTTGAGATTCACAAGCACCTATTATTCTCCCTATTCTAGTTAGAAAGAAAAGCGGAAGCTTGAAACCATCCTTCCTATCTTAGCAAAATCAGCAACCTTAATGAAATCCAATTCACTCTTCCCCAGAAAGCATAGCTCCTCACTCCTCAAAAAGCGTGGTCCTGGGACCAACAGCATCAGGATCACATTGAGACTTGTCAGCCTGGCAGACCCCCAGGCTTTACCAAGACA